AGGCCCATGGGTCCCCCGGTGAGTGCCGCCGCCCGGGCCCAGCGTCCTGCCGGGCCCCCCGAGATCCCCCCAGGCCCGTTCCTGCTGGGACTTCCTGGGGCTCAATCCTACCAGGACCACCCCCCCGGGCCGGATCCTGCCGGGTTTCCCCGGGGTCTCCCTTCCCTCCGCGACCCCGGGCCGGCCCCGACCCTGCCCCCTGACCCCCTTACGGGCCGTATCCTGTCCATGCCTCCATCCTGCCCCCCCATCACGCGTGGGCTCTTGGCCCCCTCCCCGCGGGCCCGTTCCTGCTCAGACCTGCCCCTCCGCCTGCCCCATCCGGGCCCCTCTGTCTTCCTCGGCCGCCCCCTCTCCCCCTGCGTGCGCTCGCTTGCCCTTGGACTCGCCCGGATGCCCCAAATTCCTGCCCCCCACGACCGCCCCCTAGGACTGCTCCCAGCAGCCCTGGGCAGACAGAGATGCCAGGAGCTGGTGCACGGTGCTCGGGGGCCGCCCATCCGTGTCCGGTGCCGAGACATCCCGGGTGGCGCAGGCGGGAAGGGGAGGCAGGGCCAGCGCCTCCCAGCTGCTGGTGCCGCTGAGCCAGGTGCGGGGTCGTGGGCGGGCGCGAGGACAGCTCTGGCCCCGGGGGTCCCGAGTGGGAGTGTATGCGGGAGGGACAAGGGTGGTCAAACAGTCCCATCGGGGTAATCGGTGATGTGAGGAGGCCGGGGGCAGTGGGGGTGTCCTTCCCTCCCTCCCTGGCCGGGCTTCACCCCGATCACGGCTTCCTCTGGCAGTTTCCCCGGCTCCTTTCCAGCAGGACAGGAAGCAGGACCGGGGTGGCCTGGGCTGCGCCTTCACCTCCCCCCCGGCTGGGAGCATTCCTGGTGCGACTCCATTTCCTGTTGTTTCCCAGCAGCCTCCTCCCCCAGCCCCAGGCGCTCTCCTGCCTGCTCTGGCAGGCGCTGCATCCGCTCCCTCCCGCTGTCCCCTTAGCACTGGGGCAGGTTGGGGGAGCAGCCCCCCCCAGCTGGAGGAGGTCTGGGCAGTGCTGGGGGGGGGCTTGCTCTCACCCCAGTGCTGCAGGTTCTTGCACCTCCATGGGGGTGAGCAGTCCTACCAAATCACACCTGGGCCATAGCTGCTCCCTGAGTTGTGTGGGACCCAGGTGTCTCCAGCCCGTGGCCCAGGAAGGACACATTTGTCCCTGAGTTGCTCGTGGTTCTGTCAGTGCGATGCTGGGGGCCAGGGTACCAGAGATCTCTGTCAGGCTGCGGCGTGAGCAAGCCTGTGGGGGCTGTGACTGAAGGCTGCAGTAACATGGGGCATCTCTTGCCTGCATCAGTCAGCAGCTGAGTTGGCTGTTGTTGCCTCTGGGGCTTAAGGTACAGGAGCCTGGAGCAGGAAATAATAAAGGTCTCTTCTCGTGCCTGTAGTAGACATGCTGGTCGTCACCTCCACGGGCAGGGAGCTGCCAGACCTGCATGGGAGGTGCTCGGCTCTGCTGGGCTGGCAGGGAGGCACTGAGCGTGACCTGGAGAGGCACGGCTCCCACCTCCTATGCGTCGGGGAGCTGTGGTGCGCCTTGGGCATGTGCTACCCCTCCTGCGGGATGTAGCAGCCAGTCCATGTTCAGGCCCGGCTGTGGGCGTGGGGCCCCTTTCCCACGCAGCCCCTGCCTGTGGCCCTGCCTGGGAGCTTCCTGCCTCTTGTGGTTGTCTTCAGCCCAGTGCTGCATAACCAGCAGCTTCGGCACCAGCGCTTGTGGCAGGCATGCATGTCATGAGTCACCACGGTGCGGGCACCGTTGCTAGGGGCGTTTAGCACCCAGCTGCTTGCTTTGTGGAGCCTCCTCCCGCATGTATTTTAAGAGTCTCCCTGGGGTGCGGTGGCAGGATGTGCAGGGAGGAAAGGCTCTGATAGCGCAGCACCAAGCTTGGGGTGCCTCAGCCCCTGCAGCGAGCTGTGTGGGGGGTTCTGGGATTGCTCTGGGCAGCTTGAAGGGGCTCAGCAGGCTGCCGTTAGCCTGGGGAGCTGCATGCAGCCAAGGAGGTTGTGCATAGCATAACCATGGCTGCTGTGGCCCAAGGCTGCCATGGAGAAGCTGCAGGCATCTGTGATGCATGGCTGCAGGGCGGGGGCTGCCTGCTGGCTGCCCAGCCCGAATCTGTCCTCTGCTTGCGACCGGGGTCATCAGGTCTCGTCACAGGCTTGTAGGGAACAGATGCGTGAGCCCCAGCCACACTGCTTGGCCGACTCTGCCTGACCTGGCAGCCATTGCTGCAGTCTGATGGTGCCATCCATGCCCAGCAGGGTCTGCAGTTGGCAGAGCAAGCGGGAACCACACCCAGGCACCAAGGGGCCTGTGGGGAGGCAGGGGAGGTGGATCGCAGCATGTGCTAGGGTCCTGCGGGCTCCCCCTCAAGCCCTTCTGCCTGCGCAGGCCCCACACTGCCACAGCTCACTGATGGGCTGGGCTGCAGGGCTGAGCACAGCAAGCGCTGCCTTTCTCCGTGGATTTGTTACGCTCCTCAGGTGGCCTTGGGGGGCTGGGATTCCCAGGTGCTCTGAATGGTCTGCACCATGCACCTGGGGCTGCCATGCAGGGGATCATGTCAGGGCTGCTGCGGTGCCCATGCCACACAGGTGGTTTGTGATGCAACCACTGTGAGGAGCACAGCACCTCCCACCTCCACCGGGCATCACGCTTAGCTCAGGGCCCCGGTGCCCAGCTGGAGCTGGCATGGGCACGAGCCTGTCCGTGTTCTGGGGTGTCTTCACGGTGGGGTGTGGGCACTGGTCTCGCTGGCAGCCCAGGAGATAGGGTGTTGTTCTGCTTGCCCAGCCTGTCATGATTACTGCCTGGGCAGGGAAAGGTCATGTTATCACAGCTCCTTTGCTGCCATGGGGCCTGGCCAGGCCCTGCCTGTGCAGGTCTGTGGGGCCAGGGCCAGACAGGCTCCTTATCTCTTGCCTCCGGGTGAATCACGTCACTCCAGCTTTGCAGGCCCCAGATAAGGGCACAGTCCTACGAGGAAGTAAATCATGTTTGTTTCCCGCTCTGGGCTGGCGTTGTTCTCCGTGCCAAGCCTGATGGCTCCGGAGAGGGGATGGGAGCAGGGCGGGGGGGCTGCAAGGAGCTGGGCCCCTTCCTCTTGCTTTGTTCTTTGGGCAGGAGCTGTCTCCGCCCTTGTTCCACACAGCTGTGGCTGTCCCCTGCGTGGCCTCCCTCCCCTGGGTCCAGCCAGCCCCCGGCTCCAGCTGGCAAGCTCCCTGCTGCTGGAGCTGCCCTGGCCCTGGGCAGAGTTAGGACCTCGAATGCTGCTTTGGCAACAGAGGGGTGACGAGTGTCCATGGGGCTGTGGGGGCTCCCAAGCTCACAACTCCAGGTGCTGCCCTGAATCCCACTCACGGAGCAGGGTCTTGGGGTGCAGCCACCACTGCTCCTGCCTTCCCTGGGGAGGCACCGGAGGATGGGCGATGGTGGGCCCTGGGAGGTCCTGGTCCCCACAGTCCAGGAGGTCACCGGGGACTGAGAGCTCATCTCTTGAGCTTGGCTTCTGAGCTGGGCACATGCCCTGAGGAGCCAGGAAGGAGTCCCCAGGCCAGCGGGGCTGGAGCACCAGACAGGGGAGGCAGGGCTGCTGCTACCCTGGTGACTCCCAGCAATGGGGCTGGGCTCACAGGACGGCGTTCAAGGCGCACTGGAGATCCCGAGACTTATCCCATGTGCAACCTGCCCTGGGCCTCATGCATCTCAGCCTCCTGCCCACACAGGATCTGAATGAGGTCCCCTGCTCCCCCTGTGTCGCAGAGGACAGCCGTGTCACCTGAGGCCGGGCAGGGCAGGCCTGGCCAGGCAGCAGGAGCAATGCCTGCGGAAGCAGGTCAGGCAGGGCCTTCTCCAGGCGAGCAGAAGGGCAGAGGGGATGTGCCAGGCCTGCCAGGCCCCTTGGACAGGGCGGCGCTGGCTAATTCCCTGTTTGTCACCGAATGCAGGTGGGACGCCGGGAGGACAGGGGCTGTTGGTACCTGTAGCCTGTGTGGGGCCCAGCCCAGCAGCTGAGATGGAGTACGTGGTAAGGACGGCCAGGCTGGGCTGCGGTGGAGGGTGCCTGGCTTTGGTGACGGGTTGCCTGCCTTCTCTCACTCCTCTCCTTTCTCTCTGGTGAGGCAAGTGGGTCTGCAACCAGCCAGGCTCCTTTCCACGTCCCCGCCGGCCCCTCCTCTCCTCTCCTCTCTGCTGGATCCGAGCCTCCGCCTGCTTCTTTGGGGCTGTTGTGTGGTTGGCGGTGCCCCAGCACCCTGGTTCAGGGAGCGCACAACGTCTCTGCAGTGCTGTGAACAGCTCTGGGGCATGACTTGGCCGCTGCGCTCCTCATCCTGTACTGTGTCACTTGGGGCTGAGCATTGCTGCTCTGGCACCTCCCCAGGACATCACTTGTGCTGTGGCCGTTATAGCACATGCTCTCTGTGTCTCTGGTGCGGGTCCTGTCAGGCACATGCCCCTAAATGGCACAGGGCAGTATCAGGATCCCTGCGAAGTGGCAGCGCACCAAGGCTTGCCTGCCTGGCTCTGGGGATGGGCGGTGAGTCCCCAGTCAGAGCTGTGACCTGCTCACCAGGGCTCCAAGTTTTGGTCCTGCCCTGCTCTTGGCTTGTGCTGGGAGCTGCATCCAGAGCCATTTATTGGTGGATACTGGGGCTGGGACAGGACTCCTGCCCCACCCCCTGCTCCGTTCACAGCAGCAGGCCTGCAAGGCAGCTCCATGCTCTCTGCCCCTGGCCCCCCCCCCCCCCCCCGCGACTCCCCTCTGAGCATTTGCTGTGCAGGGCAGCCCCTGGGGCAGGCCTGGCCGGTGGAGCGAGCAGGGGGGCCACATGTACATGTGGGTCCATGTTGTGCTCTCCCCTGCTCTCTGCCAAGCTGCTGGCATGTCCCGGAGTTCTGACTTGGTGCTCGTATTTCCTGGGTGCAGGCGGACACCAGACCCTGCCCAATGCTCCGTGTGAGCGCCATGGGGGGGCCTGGCTTCCCCGGGCATGTGAGAGTGGCACCCGTACCCCACACCAGCCTGAGGCCCTCCTTGGCACAGGCAGGCTCTAGTGGAGGTAGGGAAGGAGAGCTGCGCACCCAGAGCAATGGGAGCCAATGGTCAGACCATGCTCCCCCAGGCAGAGCCTCCACACTCCCCTGCCAGCTCCTGCGCTAGCCACTGGACTGGGCCTCCTGGGTCTCCACCTGGGGGGCAGGGGCCTGGGGCCACAAGTGGCTCTGCCTGAGGTCCTTGCTGATGAGGTGGATGGGTTCCCTATGGGGCGGGGGCGGGGGACATTCTCCAGGCGGAGGAGGCTGGGCTCTGCCCCTCCCCACCCAGCAGCCAGGCTCCGGTTAACCTGTGGTTGCCCAGCTCCTGCCAGCGCTCAGCAGTGGGTGGGGGCCGACCTGCCTCCCCCTCCCCCAGCAGCAAGCCAGGATGTTGAGGGCAGGGCAGGGCGGCGGCTCAGCGCGGCAGGGAGACAATGGGAGCAATGGGAGCCCTGGTCCCGGTGTAGCAGCCCCCCTCCCCGGGGCCATGCGGGCGGCTCCCCAGCCCCATGGACCTGCTGCCCCGCACCAAGTACAGCCACCTGCGGGAGTCCGCGTCCTTGTCCTCTCTGGACGAGGTGCCCGGCTCCTCTGCCTCGCTCTGCTCCTCTGGCTCCCCATCCTCGGCACCCCCCAGCCCTGCGCGCCCGGCCGATCTCTCCTCCGGCTCCGAGGACTCGCCCACCACTCTCTGCTCCTTCTTTCCCAAAATGGCAAACCTGAAGTTGGCCAACCCTGCCAGCCTTCTCAGCCTGCGTGGCTTCTCCGCCAGCCCCCTCCGAGATGAGGCGCTCGCTGAGCCCATGGCCCCTGCGGGCACCAGCCCAGTCTCAGTGGGGCCTCTTGCCCTCTGTCCCCAGGATATGAACAAGCTGAGCTGTGGCAAGAAGACGCGGGTGGAAGGTGGCCAGCTGGGTGGTGACGAATGGACCCGGCACGGCAGCTTCGTCAATAAGCCCACCCGCGGCTGGTTGCACCCCGACGACAAGGTCATGGGCCCCGGTGTCTCCTACCTCGTCAGGGTGAGTGTGGGCATGGAAGGGTTGGGGCGCGTGCCCTGCCAGGGAAGGGCATCATCCTGGTGCACCAGCATCGCTGCCATGCCCCTGAGACAGCCCAGCATGAGCCCCCGACTGTGCCCCTTCCATGCTTAGCCCTTGCTGTGCTGTACCCCCCAGCTTGCCCAGGGGATCCCCAGCCTGAGGGTGTTCCCAGGAGGCTGGGGTTGGAGTCCCCTGTGGGGCAGCTCTGCACTGCGGGGGCGGGGAGCCTAGCTAGCTGGTCACCCCCGTGCCCAGCCCAGCCCTCTCCCTGCGCCCTCACTCCTGGCCCGGCTGTGCTGGACGGCACTGGTGCTGGCGGAGCAGCCCGGGGAGGGAGGAACTTGCAGGTTTCCGGTGCCCTGACCTGTTGCATGGCCCTGCTGCTCCCTGAGCCCAGCTGGGCCAGAGCTTCCTCCCCGGGGGCATGAGCTGCCCTCCAGCCACCAGTTCCTCTGCAGGTTTTCTTCCCCTTCCTCACAAGTTTGGGACAACACCTCCCCTGCCCCAGGTCTCGCTGTGCTGGTACTGTGCATGCCCCCGCTAGCTGGGGTGCATGGAGTGGGGTGCTGCAGGGGTGGGGCCAGCCAGGACACCAGGTCTGTGGTCCCCCTCGCTCAGCATTCCCGTGCAGTCTGATGCACTACCCAGGGGTAAGGGCACCTCGCATCTGGGAGCCAGAGCCTGGCAGTCTGCTCTGGACCTGCTGAGCAGGAGTAGGAGGAGGCAGGGAGAAGCCTTGAAAGCCCCAGATGGGCAGGGGGGCTGGTGCTGTCCTGGTCTCTTTGACCTGTGGGGGCAGCAGCTTCCAAGATGCTCTGGGGTTGCCCCCTCCCTGGGACAGGGTGCAGAGCTCCCCAGGCTGCCCTTTGGCCCAGTCAGCTGCATGTGCCACCTGCCAACACCCCAGCCAAGGCCAGAGCCAGGCCTGGTGACAATGGCTGGTGCCTCCCCTTGGCACCCAGGCCCCCAGGATCTGGCTGTCCCACCAGAGAGTGTGCTGAGCCAGGCTGCCTGCCAGCCTAGGGCATGAGTCCCTCAGCACCTTAGCTCTGCGAAGGGGGTGCCCTGCCCATGGGGCAGTCCTGCCCATGCCTCCGCTGGCTCTGGCCAGCCATCTGTGGCAGCCTCAGCAGGGCCCCATGGGGTCAGGGCAGCACCGTGCATGACCCCAGTGCAGCTGCTGGCCTTGCTGTTTCCTATTTGCCTCCAGCCGTCAGTGGTGAGTCAGAGCCTGCCAGCAGTGCCACCTCCCCAGCACTGCCTGGGGTGTGAGGACAGAGTGTGGGCACTTCCACCAGCTCAGGTGGGGCTGAAAGAGGACCTGGCTCAGGGCAGGCACACTGCTCCCCATGCCCAGTGCTGCCTAGACCCCCTCAGCTGACACAGCTCCTGCCTCCACGCAGCTGTTCAGCCCTGGGCACTGGGCAGCTACCCTCCCCACCCCAGCCATGACTGCGGGAACACTGGTTTTTCTAGGAAACGGGCATAGCGCAGAGGAAACAGAATGGGGAAGCGTCCCCAGCAGGCGGAGGTGGCATTGCCGCCCCAGGCGAGAGGCTTTGCTGCGGCAGACCTGGCCAGAGCCCATAGCTGAGCCCTGGCTCCCAGGATTCCCAGCCCTGCCCCTCCACCTCCTCCCTGGGCTGCCCTGGGTTGGGCACGTGCAGTGACAGGGCACTGGCAGGAGGGCCCAGGAGCGAGGCCTAGCCCAGACCAGAGCACCCCCAGGGCCACCCTGTGCCCCTGGCATGTGCTAGGGGGTCGGTGCCCCAGTGCAGGGCAGCAGGCTGTCTTGGGGGGATGCAGGGGGCCCCCAGTGGGACCACTGTGGATCCCGGGGCTCACATACTCTTTCTCCCTCCAGTATATGGGTTGTGTGGAAGTTCTCCAGTCCATGAGAGCACTGGATTTCAACACCCGAACTCAGGTCACCAGGTGAGCCCCCAGGGGTGTGGTGATGCCTGTGGTCATGCAGCCGCTGTGGCCCGCAATGCAGGGTGGGATGAGGCAGGTCACAGCCCAGAACTGGGTGGCCATGTGGAGCCCAGGGGAGGGGCCAGAGCCGGAGCTGGGCAGGCTGTGGTGCCGTGCCGGGGTCGCAGTGGCAGCCGAGCTGTCTGCAGCTGCAGAGGAGGCTGCCGGGAGATCGATGTGCCTGTCAGTGGGATTCATCGCAGCCAGACAGGAAGCATCCGCACAGCTCCATCAAATATTAACGCACTCGCTTCAGCCTCTCTCGGCCCCCGCGTCCGGCTCGGCCCTGTTGCAGCAGCAGTGGGAGCAAGCGTGGGGATCCATAAGCTGGGAGTGTCCCTGGGCATCCCAGGGCAAGCAGCTGTGGCCATGGCAGGCTGAGCAGGGGTGGGCCCTGGCACCAGCCCCATCCCAGACCCTCGGTACAGGTCTCTTCCTCCTCCACCTGCTGGGTCCGGGGAGGAGGAGCTGCCCAGGTGGTGGGTGGGGATGGGATTGACAGATTGTCCCTGGCAGGGAGGCGATCAGCCTGGTGTGTGAGGCAGTGCCTGGAGCCAAAGGAGCCGTGCGCAGAAGGAAGGTGAGACACAGACACCGATGGGGGCTGGAGTGGGACTGGCGAGTGGTGCTGGTATCTGGCTTTGACCTTGGCACCAGCCTGATTGTTGGGAGGTTGTGGGGCCTGTGGGGCAAGGGGCTGCCCTATTGTGTCCCAGGGGTCCTGAAGTTGCCCAGGAGGTGGGAAACTCCCGCCCCTTCTCACTGCAGGGGGCTGAGGCCCTGGGAGAGCTTCCATCCCCACTCAGCACTGTCCAGACATTGGGGCAGGTGCTTAGTACTGGTACCGGTGCTTAGGCATCCTGCTGCATGCCAGATGGGTGGCAGGCACCCTCCCTTCCACTGCGCCTCCTGCACACACTGTTCCTCTCCCTCGCAGCCCTGTGGCCGCTCGCTCAACTCCATCCTGGGCAAGAGCAACCTGAAGTTCGCTGGCATGCCCATCACCCTCACCATCTCCACCAGCAGCCTCAACCTCATGGCCTCCGACTGCAAGCAGGTGAGAGCAGGGTAGATTCAACCCAGAGCCCCACAGGCAGGCAGGACTCCTGTGTTCTCTGCCTGCTGAGCCTGAGAGATCAGGGGAGGCTCCGTGGCAAAACCCTGGGGACAGGCTGTGACTTTCAACTCCAGGGGCTGAGCAGGTCTGGCTGCAGTGCCGTAGGCTGCCTCTGACAGCCCCTCTTCTTCCCGCAGATCATCGCCAACCACCACATGCAGTCCATCTCCTTCGCCTCTGGGGGCGACCCGGTGAGTGCAGGGCCGAGCCACACGGCTGCTGGGTTTGTGGCCTTTGGCCCCAGGACCCTTGTGGGGAGGTTCCACCTTGGGCCCCTCTGTCCAAGGCTTGCCTGGAGCCAGGAATGGCTCAGGGGCCAGGAGGCTACACACATGCTGGGGCCCAGAGCCCCGGGCCCAGCAGAGTGTGGTAGGGACTGGCCCCTGTTCGTGGTCCCCGCCTTCTCGTTGGGGCAGTACAACTGCCTGCCTGGGGAGTCTTTGCTATGGGACAGATGCAGGGGGGCCAAATCTGCACCCCAACACCCTGCCCCACTCCCTCCCTGTAGGTCCTTCCCCAGGCCTGGCCTGGGCTGCCCCCTCTCACCCTGCTCTCATCCACAGGACACTGCAGAGTATGTTGCCTATGTTGCCAAAGACCCTGTCAATCAGAGAGGTGAGGACAGCAGCTGCAGCACAGCTGGGGGCGGGGGGCAGTCTGCTGAGCATCCCGTTGGCCTGTACGTGACCCTGGTGGTCAAGGTTTTACCCGGGCCTCTTGCTTGGTGGGCAGCTCCTGCCATTCCCAAGCTGCAGGGAGTGTGTTGCTCCTGCCAGAAGGCCTTGGTCTGGACTGGGTGGGGCGAGAGAGGGGTCGTGCTGAGCCCCTCCCTCCCCAGCCCTGCTGTCCTCCCACAGCCTGCCACATCCTGGAGTGCCCCGAGGGCCTGGCCCAGGACGTAATTAGCACCATTGGGCAGGCCTTTGAGCTGCGCTTCAAGCAGTACCTAAAGAACCCCCCGAAGCTGGTGACACCCCATGACCGGTAAGAGCCTCCTGGGTAACCCTATGGCACTGGGGCAGGCCATGACCTGCTCCACTGGGCATTGTCCATGGGCTGCTCTGCCTGGGCACGATGGGGCATCCCAGGGCAGGGACAGCCCATGCTGGAAGAGCACAGCACAGGGGCGGTCCAGTAACACCCTGCATCTCCCCTTCCCAGGATGGCTGGATTCGATGGCTCGGCCTGGGACGAGGAGGAGGAGGAGGCCACGGATCACCAGTACTACAACGACTTCCCCGGCAAGGAACCGCCCATTGGGGGTCTGGTAGACATGCGGCTGCGTGACAGTGCTGGCGCAGCCCTGACACCCAACCACCTGGGGGCCACGCTGGTGAGCTGTACCTGGCAGGGCACATGGGTGGGGGCAGGGAGACACTGTGTGGGTGGAAAGGATGGAGATGCCTCTTGGCCCAGGGCTTGGGCACAGCCAGGGCATGGGGCCAGGCTCATCGGGGTGTCTCGGCACAAGGGGCTTGGCAAGCTGCTGCCAACACGGGGGGGCAGGGCAGGGCAGGGAGCCACTGGGGTGTGAGCATTGGGGGTTGATCCCCAGCTTAGTTGCTCCCTGCTCTTCCTGCAGCCCGTGGGCCAGGTGTCTGGAGGCGAGTACGAGACCAGGAAGCAGCATCCTCCCGCACAAGGTACGTGCCAGGGAAGGCATTGACCCCACCTGCCTACCCAGTGGCACCTGGCTGGGCGCAGACCTGCCTGCGTCCCAGCAGAGGGTGCAGGGGCCCTTACCTACCAGCCCTGGCCACCACATGCCTCCCTCTGTAGCAGCAGGGCAGGCTGAGCACTGAGCATGTGTGACTGCGTGGCCAGGGATGTCAGGGCCAGCATTGAGTATGGCGTGCGGGCAGCCAATGCCCTGTGGCCATTACTACTTTGTCAGGAGCGCCCCAGAGAGCACAAAGCTGGCCCCAGGGGCAGAGCACCCACTGCACCCAGCACCAAGCCGGCCTGCCCCTCTGCGCTGTGCTGGGGGTCTGGTAGCAGCCCTGCAAGCCACGAGGCCCATGATGGCTGGAGGCCACACCGTCGCTGTTCCTGGACCAGTCTGCCCAGCTGACACCTCTCTCTCCACAGGATGGGAGAAGCTCCCTGCCCCGGCCGGGGGACCCGGGCGCCCTGACCTCTTTGATGACCCATCCTATGTCAACGTGCAGAACCTGGACAAGGCGCGCCAGGCCTCCGTCACCGGCCTCCCCGGCACCGCCAACGGTAGCACCCAGAGGGACCTCTTTGACATGAGTGAGTGGGCTGGCCTGTGGGGGTGGGGACATAGGGAGTTGCAGCCCTGCTGGAGGCATTGAGAACCCAGGGGCTCAGCCCCTGCCCTTTGCTGGTGCCTCTGACCCCCGCCTCCTCCCTCCTTCTCCACAGAGCCATTTGAGGATGCTCTGCGTGTGCCGCCTCCTGTGCCTGTGGGGCTGCCGCCGGCCCAGGTGGTGGCCTCCATGGAAGAGCAGTTGCGGCGGGAGCCCTGGTACCACGGGAAGATGAACCGCAAGGAAGCAGAGAAGCTGCTGAAAGTGAATGGGGACTTCCTGGTGCGCGAGAGCACCACCACGCCGGGGCAGTATGTACTGACAGGGCTGCAGGGCGGGCAGCCCAAGCACCTACTGCTTGTGGATCCGGAGGGAGTGGTGAGTTGGGGCCCCAGGGCTGCAGCCCCTTCTGCAGCCAGGTGTTTTACACACCTGGAGCCAGGGCAGAGCACAGACCAGTCCCCTCCCGATTACCCCCAGACCTTGCGCCTGCGTCTGCCCCAAGGGATCTTGAGGCCTGGCTGTGGTGGTGTGGGACAGAAGCCCTGCTGCCCCATAGGTGATACAAGCACACCCCACGGTCTTGCGGGGGAGGTGGGCAACATGGCAGGCTCTGGGGCTGGCTGTGGGCCTCATGGCTGCAGCCCCCAGCAGCCTCCTGAGTGGCTCCTCCTGGCCCCGCAGGTCCGGACCAAGGATCACCGGTTCGAGAGCGTCAGCCACCTGATCAGCTACCATATGGACAATCACCTGCCCATCATCTCCGCCGGCAGTGAGATGTGCCTGCAGCAGCCGGTGGAGAGGAGACTGTGAGGGGTGTGGGGCCTCGGTGCATGGCCCCGGCCCAGCTTGGCCCGGCCTTTCTCCCCCTGACCCCCTCCCAGCGGGGCTCTTGAACTGTCTGAGCAGCTCCGCGTGGAACCAAGAGACCTGCCCATCGGAGCCTGCCTGTCCTCGCAGGGGAGCTCCTGCCAACCCTGTTGGAGCCTGCCTGTCCCTGCAGCGCCCTCCTCCTGGAGCTGAGGCCCCTTGGAGCAGGGCCAAGAACTGGGGCCAGCAGCCTGCTCCTGCGGGAGAAGAAGGGTTCTCCTGCCAAAGCACACGCCCTGCCCCACGGCGCTTCGCTAGCACCAAAGCCCCTGCCTGTGGCCACGGTCTGCAGACCCCAGCCAAGGCAACACCACAACCCACACGTGCACGCTCACAGGCGTCAGGGATCCCTAATGCCTACACGTGCACACACACACACATGCGCACACACACTGAAGGGAGCCCCCCCACCCATGGAGCCCTCTGCGGGAGGTAGGACTCCCATTTCCTCCAGCCTGTCCCCCCGCCATAGGGGACCCCTGACCTCATCTGTCCCGTGCCCCCCTCCCCCCAGGTGCGAGGGGCTCCCCTATGCAGGACCCTATTGCAGGGGTTGGGCACGCCGCTCCCACAAGCAGACGGCTGGGCTGGCCGCGCACCTCTGAACGCCCCGATCACTTTACGTATTAACTGTGCCTTGACCCCCACAGGTCCCAGACTCTTATGCAAAGCCGCCTGCCTGGGGGGCACAGCCCTGGCCTGAGGC